AATCAAGTTACCTTTGGTGAGCTTTCACTTTTCAGAACCACAGTGGTTATCAAATCCACCATCATCAAGTACCTGCACAGAAATCAAGTTAAAGCGAACATCTTGAGCATGTTTAACTCCTCTAAGCAACAATTGCATCCCCATGTTGGTTTGCAAGTGAACATCACCAACACCAATAACCTTAGACACTCCACCATTACTCATCTTCAATACTCCAAAATCACCAGGTGTATAAGATGTGAATAACTCCTTCCTAGATGTAACATGCAGTGTAGCACCACTATCAATTATCCACATGCTCTCATCAGATACAAGATTAATAGTTTCATAATCACGAAGACAAATAAGGTCACCACATGTAGTAGTAGTAACACGATCACCATCATCGGTATCTTTGTCTCTTTGCTTACCATTTTTGTCTTTGCTCTCTTTCTTCAACAAAAAACAGTTCTTCTTTATATGCCCTGTTTTATGACAATAGTGACACTCCACATTCTTGTACCGAGACTTGGACTTGCTCCTGCTTTTATCTCTACCACTATTTTGTTCTTTCTTCTGGCTTCTTCCCCTATTCTCTGTAATAAGAACTTTTGAATAAGATGAAGTACCATGTGTCTTCCTTCTCATCTCCTCATTAAGAGCACCACTCTTTGCCATTTGCAAAGAAATATCACCATTAGGGGTAGCACTTATCATGAAAACCCGAAATGTCTCCCATGAATCCGGTAAAGAGTTTAACAGGAATAAACCCAATAGATCATCATCAAACTTTATACCCACTCTTGCTAATTGATCATAGCGCCCTTGAAATTCACTCAAGTGATTTGAAACAGGATTTCCTTCCTTGTACTTCAACTCTACAAAATTTTTTAGCAAGTACAATTTATTAGTTCCTGACTTAGAGGCATATAAGGACTCAAGCTTATTCCATAGGCTTCTCGCATGTGTCTCATTAGCAACAAAATTATGAACATTATCATCAACAAACTGCCTGATAAATCCACATACCTGTTGATGTTCAAAATCCCCTTCTTCATCTGACTTGGATTCCAGTTTATTGGAAGCAAAAACTGAAAGATCCAAAATTTTCACAAATAGCAAATCCTTCATCTTGCCTTTCCATAGGTGATAATTTTCTCCATTCAAAGGAATCAATTTTGTATGTGTCTCCATCATTCACGCAAACTAAACAGTCCCTTAACCAAAGAGCTCTGATGCCACTCTGACGGGAAAGGGCCAAAAAATATAACAACTTATCAAACAGTAATAACGCAGCGGAAATTCAATCCCCCTTCTTGCGAGAATCTGTGAGGAGCACCAAACAAATAAAACAAAAATAGAATCCAAAACACAAAGAGACACCAACTATTTTTAGTGTGTAAAATCTCTCAATGCAAGGGTAAAAACCACGAGTCGTCCAGACCAAAGAAAAATCCACTATGATCAATAATAGGGTACAAAAGAGTCTCTAATAATAACACCAAATGATGTGTTGAATAAGCCAATTTAAATAAGCACAAATGCTTACAAATGAGAACTAAGAAGATGAAAATTCCACAAAACAAGGCTGCTGGTGCAGGAATGATTTCTCCCAATCTAGACCTCCGATTGACAATCCGAACGGTCAGAATGAAGAACCATATGTCTGAAACCTACTGTCTAAAAATCAGCTAGATCCAACGATGAACGGATTCATAGCGAATAAAACACCAGTGCAGATTTAGAGTTATGCGGGAATGGCTTTCTCTCTTTCTTTTTCTCTCACTTAGCTTTTGACTCTCTTCAAATGATTCTGATGTGCTCTCTGACCCATCTCAATTTGACCTAGTGAGACCTTTCTCTCCGCTTTCACTGATGGATCGAATCCAGCACAAGTTCGTGAAGGTTGGTGATGCTCTCAATCTCCACGTCGCAGAAATCGGAAGTGGTAAGAATCAATCCAACGCCATCGTTTTCAACTTATGCATTTTGCTTCCATCGTTGATTTGGTCTGTGTTGGTGTTTTCAGGTGAAAACGCCGTCGTATTCTTGCACGGTTTCCCTGAGATATGGTACTCGTGGCGGCACCAGATGATAGCCCTTGCCGATGCTGGATTCAGAGCCATCGCCTTCGATTACAGAGGCTATGGTCTCTCCGATCCTCCACCTCAACTCGAGAAGGCTTCCTGGTCCGATATTCTCAACGACCTCCTTCATATCGTTCAAGCTCTTCATCTTCCAAAGGCACTCTCTCTCTCTAAACTGTTTCCCTTTGTGCATGCCACCAACTTAAAAAATCTATTATAAGTTAATTTTTTTGCGACGGTTAAAGATTTACTATTGAAGTTACTACAAGAGAAAAAAAAGAAAAACTAAATTATTGTGAGGTGTATATACACTTGATGATTGTTCATAAAAAAAGACTTAAATTAATCGGGCTAATTAAAGCAAATTGAACTTGATCAACATGTAAATTCAACCCGTTGCAGAGATTTTGCCATGAGTCGAAAGGAGTTAGTACGAGAGGTGTTTTGCATGAAGGGATGCCTAGGTGTAAAATGTGACTGAAATGATCATATATGCTTAATCTGTTGCCTAATTGATTCCCCTCCTCAATGAGCTTTAGGTGTTTCTTGTTGGAAAAGATTTTGGAGCTCGTCCTGCACATCTATTTTCAGTTCTACACCCTGAAAGGGTCTTGGGAGTTGTTACATTGGGAGTTCCATTTGTTCCCCCAGGACCCTCTCTCTTTCACAAAGTCCTTCCCGAAGGCTTCTACATTTTTAGATGGAAGGTAATCTTAAAGATACTTCCTTAAATATACATGTTTTTTCTTGCTATTTTCTAATGCAACTAATAACTTATGAAACCATTAGTGCAAGCTTTCAATATTCTGATTATCATTGAAAAGCAACACTAAACACTGAGAATGTTTATCCAAGTCTTAAATTTCTTTGCTCACACCATAACTTTGATTTTATCCACATAGGAACCCGGAAGGGTAGAAGCTGATTTTGGACGCTTTGATATAAAGACTGTTGTGCGTAACATTTACATCCTCTTCTCCAGAAGTGAAATACCAATAGCTAATGAAAAGCAGGAGATCATGGATCTGGTAGAACCTGATACTCCTCTTCCCTTATGGTTCACTGAGGAAGATCTTGCAACGTACGGCGCCTTGTATGAGAAATCTGGATTCAAAAATGCATTGCAGGTTCCATATAGGTACTAAGATTTGTTCTTTTTAGTGAGATGCTATTGAGCAATGATGCATTGTTGTTATTGATGTGTTGGTTTTGTTTGTATTTGTAGGTCATTTGATAAAGTGTTTAACTTACAAGATAGCGTGGTTAGAGTTCCCGCACTTTTTATATTGGGTGAGAAGGATTATTTTCTGAAGTTTCCTGGGATTGAGGATTTAACAAAGGGTGAAAAAGCAAGAGAGCATGTTCCCAATCTGGAAGTGACATTTATACCTGAGGGGACTCATTTTGTTCAAGAACAGTTTCCTGAGCAGGTGAATCGACTTATTCTGGATTTCCTTACCAAGCACACTTAGTCAAAAGGCAGGACTTTCTTCATGAATGGTGTATGAAGAACTTTTCTATGACACTTTAGCCATCTACATTTCAGAAAAAATAAGGAATGAAATTAGTTTTTCTATAAGTTCAAACTTCTATGGCGTTGACCCATTTATTATTTTATTTTAATATATATATATATATATATATATATATATATATATATATATATTAAAAAACACTTAAATATATAAATATGTTTTAAATTTTTAATTAATTAATTAATCTTTACAACTAGATAAATTAAAATATAATATTTTTTAAAAATATTAATGATTTAAGTTTCATTATATTTAGATTAGAGAAAGTTAATTTCTTAATATATTTTTTTTAGTTTTAATTTAAAAAAAAAGGAATTGAGTCGCTCAATCTCTCTCACCCCACCTCTAGTCATTGGACAGACCTAAATTTTATAGATTTTTAATTAATTAATTAATGTTTATAATAAAATAAATTTAAAAATTAATATAAATTACAATCTTTTTTATAATTATATTTATATTTTTTATATATAATATAGTAAAATATTAATTTGTTACTTTATTTTATATTTTATTTGACATGTGATTTTGTTTGGTAAATAAACATATTTTCTTACTTACATGTGTTCTATCCAAGTTCGTCTTTTTTACAAATCAAAACGTCATAGTGATTTAATTAAAAATATAAAAATTTTAAATATTTAATACAACTATAATTTAAAGAATCAATTAAAAAAACTAAAGAGTTTTAAAACTTAATTTAATTATTTTTTCTATTTTGCATGTAAAAATAAATAAATAATAATTATAAAAAGGAACAGCCACCCAACTCCTAATTAACCATAAAATCTAAATAAAGATTAAATTAAAAATTTGTAAAAGTTTTGAGTATTAATAGAACAAAACCATTTTTATTAAAAATTATTTAAAAATATCTAAATTCATGAGAGGAGTAAAACTTAATTAAATATATTTTCTACATAACATTTTTTGCGTAAAATGGGTGGATAATGGTTAATTTTATGTTCCTTTTCCACTATATATTTTAATTATTATAATGTTCATTATTTTGACTTGATTCCTTGACAAGAGAACAAGAAATATGTAGTCAAGGGTATGAGTTGGGATTAAGTTTGGGGGAAAACACAAATGATTGAGAGAGTAACGAGTGAATTAGTTGGGAATCTTTATTGGTAATGTTTTAATTCCTCTCAAAGATGATTGGTTAAGCACAGCAAATCTGAAATATGAAGGTCGACATTTGTCATTTGCAAACATTCCAGATGACCTATCATACGACCGTAACATGGCATTCGCTTCCATAATCAGACCAAATAGGCATGGTTGGTGCTTTGAATATAAATGACAGAATTTTGCATTATCTGTTGGTGCATATCTTGACTCCACAGCCAAACAATTTCGCAAAAGTAATGCAAGAGAATATTTTTATGGTATGGGCAATCAAAAATAACATTTTTATTAATTGTTTGCATCATCCCATACTTCACTTAACATTGACCATTCCTTCGTGGCTATTTCCACGCTTAAGTCTACTATCAGGTGTGTTTGCCAAAGAAGTCAAGGATAAATTTATTCACCTGTGCGGGAAACTGTTCTTGAACGAAATGAGTTCCCTCGGGGATAAATGTAACCTCCAAATTGGGAACGTGCTCTTTTGCTTTTTCACCCTTTGTTAAATCCTCTATCCCTGGAAACTTCAGAACATAATCCTTGCCACCCACTATCAGAAGTGCTGGAACTTTAACCACAGGATCTGGTAAGTTAAACACCTTACCTAATGACCTGCAATGCAAATACACCATTAACTCAAATAAAAAAAATTGAGTCCAGGATTCGCTTTCATTGTTTTGTGCTAGCAAGAAAACCCATTTCACAAAAAAGGCAAAAAAAAGAACAAAAGCTAGCACCTATATGGAATCTGCAATGCAGTTTGGAATCCAGATTTCTCATACAAGGCTCCATATGTTTCAAGATCTTCCTCCGTGAACCAAGCGGGAAGAGGAGTATCAGGTTCCACCAAATCCATGATCTCTTGGTTTTCATTAGCTATTGGTATTTCACTTCTTGAGAAAAGGATGTAAACATTTCGCACGACAGTCTTTGCATCAAAGCGTCCAAAATCAGCTTCTGCTCTTCCAGGTTCCTGATATAGATAGAATAAAAGTTATGGTGAAATAAGTAAAGGTCATCATGCTAAGAGCAAAGAAATTTAAATTGTACAAAATGTTGTTGTTTTCCAATTAGAATTTGAAGCTTCTCATGATAATCAGTATAGCGAAAGATTGCACTAAAGGTTTACAATTACTGTTAGGTTCCAAACCTGGGTTTGAAACCTAACAAGAAAACACTCAAAAGATAGAAACAAAAATGAAAAAATGAGTTTTGCTATAATTCACCGTAAACGAATCTCTTTACAAGGACTGGGTTTGGGAGCATAACCTCC